GCTTTCTACTCCCGTAAAGATTTACACCCTCGGAAACCCTGTACAGGGTCGCTATGGGTCGGACCCGACTCGATGGCACTTAACAACAACAACAACAAGGATTTACACCCTCGGAAACCCTGTACAGGGTCGCTATGGGTCGGAACGGACTCGACGGCACTTAACAACAACAACAACAATGTGAGGGTTATCTGTAGAAGACGATTATTTAATCCTTTTGTGTTCCAAAGGATGCACTCCTATATTGCACACCAGTATTTTCAGCCTGTAAAGTTTCTTGGGAAGCTGCTATCTCAGTTGTGCTGTGTGCTACCATCTGGTGTGGTACTGTGTTACTCTAAAGAAACAGATTTCACCCGACCCAGCTTACTACCGGAGGCCTCTTGGGGGCATATGTGGCTCCCATATTTGTATCAAAATCCATATTCAAAAATTGTTTTCCTTGAGTTCAGGATGTTTTCCATTACTGAAAATACCATGGAACCAACAATAAAGTCAAAGCAAAAATAATTCAGTTATGAAAGTTAAAAACTGCAGTAGACAGGGATATTCTGAGGATTGTTGTTGTATATCTGTGGGGGCTTTAAAAAGTTCATGGGAAAACATCCCTTTGTCTTGTAAATCTATTTTCCATGAACTTTTGAAATCCCCTTGTCTCTGTATGTTTTAACAGAAACTTTATGGATCTTTATTCCCTTCTTTCAGTGAATATTTTTTTAGCAGTGCACATAGAAATTCTGTCTGCTTTATTTTATCAGTATAAGTTTTTGAAGGCTTCAAAGATGAATAATTTTAAAAAGAGTTAATTTTGCTTATATTATAAAGTTGGAGTCTTTGTGTGGTGCTAGACTGCTAACCAAAAGTTCAAACCCACCATTTACTCCACGGAAACATTATGCAATGACAAAATGAGTGGGAATTGACTAGAATGGCAATTAACAACCACCACATAAAGTTAAGTATGTTGTTATGTTCTGTTCCTACTCATAGCGACCCTTTATAGGATTTCCTAGGCTATAAATCTTTACGGGAACAGGAAGCCTCATCTTTCTCCCATGGAACAAACAGCTGGTAGTTTCGAACTGCTGACCCTGAGGTTAGCAACCCGATTCGTAACTACTACACTACCAGAGCTCCTTAAAGTTAAGTATAATGGTAGGTAAAAATGTATTGCTGCTAGAGTTATCATTCATACAGTACAGGTTTATTCCAAACAACATGCTATATAACATGTCTCTGTGATTAGTGGATGACTGCAGATAAGTTCTGTAATATACTTGTCTTAGTCTCATCAGGGTGCCTTCAGAAAAACCAAAATAGTCAAAAAAGAAAAAGGAGTCTGCTGGGCCAGTGAAATTCAAAGCAGAAAGGTCAACTCAGAAGGTTTAACGCAACTGTTGTGTTGGGACTCCCAAGGAGTCATCTTGATAGATTTTCTCAAAGGACACAGGGCCATCATGGGCTTATTATGAAGTTTTCAGAAACCTGAAAGCTATATTGGTGAGAAAAAGGCCAGTTCGGGGCTTTTTTCCACCCCCATCATGACAACGCATCTGCTTGTCCTTACTGAATAGCAAGGACTGTCTTATGAGAATTTAGTTGGAAACCCTGTCCCATGGACCCTACAGCCCTGGTCTTACCCTCGACATTTTTTCCCAAACTCCAGGAACATTTAAGAGGAACAGACAGGATTTAAGTCCCTCAGGGATTCCAAAACTGCATCCTTGTGTAAGTCAAGGAATGCAGAATTCTTCAGAGAAGGATTAAAGCGCCCCTGACCTTGAATGAAATCTAGTTCAAAGTTAGCCTGTAATGTAGAACTGTTCATAAGGATTTTGACACTGAATCTCTAGGGGATCAAACTCTTAATTTTTCTCCCATGTAGTGGCTGGTGAGTTTGAACCACCAAACTTGAGGTTGGCAACCCAATACTTAGCCCTCTGCACCACCAGGACCTCTTAGAGAACTGGTAACACCAGTTCTACAGTTGTATAGATCTAGATACAGGAATATTTTGATGAGCAACAGCTTCACAGTTTGATACTTTAATAAAGGTTTCTGTATAGCAGTACTTTGTGACATACCCATGTGTATCTTTTTTTTTTTTTTTTTTTATGTTTTTGTGAATTATGTGTTAGTTTACATGGGTGAACATTATCTTTACATTCATTCTATCATACTTTGTTTCATTGCAATGGTCACAATCCCTTACATACATCATCAAACAACCAAAGGGTACATACACCCCACACGCCTGCCCCCAGTCACCAGCCCACAGCTCCTCTCCCTCTCTGAGTCCAGAGTCCCCAGCCACTCCTGGCCACGTCATCACCTCTGCCTCCATCCCTAGTGTCACTGCCTCCCTGGACAGGGTCTCACTTGCAGTTCACTCCAGGGATCCCCTCTCCTGGACTGCAAAATCAGCCACTCCCATCCTTTTGTTACCAAACATTTACATTTACCTTTCCAACACTCACTGTCAGACCTGATAGCAGTCATTCCCTATTGAACCACTGGAGTCCTTTCCCCCTCACCTTTTATTAACCCTATCCAGCCAGGTTGGAAATAATTCAGTGGAGATTCTACCTTTCCCTGTATCCTCTGGAGCTAGGTTCCCTATTGAAAGCTTGTAAGCCAGTTACTTCTTGCCTTTGTTGTTCCCCCATTTTGGGTAGCCATTGTCTAAGTTCTCTATCCCTGTCGACCCTGTGTACCAAGGGGATGGGAATGATTCTCATTGTAGAGATTTGTCCGCTCCTTTGTCATACTGCATCCACAAGCGTAGGTCAAGTTCATCCACTTGTAGTGAGCTACTCTTTCTTTTTTGTTTTGTTCCTCTTTCTTCCTCTAGTAGTGTTTTGATCATCCAGCCATTGATGCCAAGTCAAATGGGTACTATCTGTAACTGTGAGTGTTCTTGTGCATCTCCCTCACTTCATATCAGCTGGATGCTTCACACTCTGTTCTTGTCCTCTGGGGCCATGACCCTACCCCTGTACTTCTGCTTTAGAATTTGTTTACATGTAGTGGTTTATTATAGTATCACAGGTGAACCAGCTGAGTGTCTGAAATCTTGAATACCCGTGGGCACGTTTAAAACTTATGGAAAGATACTTTAAATTCCATTTGTTCTTAAAGCTTGACTTCCTCAGAAATATTACTCACAGTGTAGAACTGTGCCATAGGTTTCTGAGACTGTAACTCTGTTCAAGACATGGTCTCTTGTGAGTGGTAGGAGTTAAAACTTTGACCTCTTAAAGGCTGACTCTTCTCTGCCCATTTTCACTAGAATCTGAACCACTGATACCCTGGAGCCTCATTCAGTCCTTAGTCACTATGGGAATTACACCTGCAATAGTTACACATGCAGTTGCTTTATAAATGAGGGTTTAGAAGTTAGGATGTGGGAAAAAAAAAGTTTACTATAAAAGAAACATTTGATAAGTACCTAAGTATATGCCTTTTAAATGTTTGTAGTGTTTACACAATCTCCTTGTAATGATTTGATATACTTGTAAACTTTAGATATGATTCAGAATGTGAAATGGGTTGCGCCTATATACTATTGTATTTGGTTTAAGACCATTAGTTTGGTAATTATTGGCTCTGGGATCACTAATTTCTTAATCAATTCTGATCTATTTTGTGGACTATATAGTCATTTAAAAAAAATAATAAAATGGTTATGAAATATCTATTTCAGAACCCAGCGACTTGACTCTAAAAATTTACAGAGCTGAATCATATGCTGGTCTCCAAGAGTTTAAAGCAGCCATAGAAGATTTAAATGCAGTTCTCTGTCAACTTCCAAATTGGCCTGAGGTAAAATTACATTTGCCACTTGACTAAACTTTAAAATTTTAATTGTAGGAAAAAGGCCTTCGCTAATGGGTATAAGTTTTAGCAAAATGGATTTGTTAACTCTTCAAATATATGAGGTTCTAGAAATCTAGCATCTGTTTTGAGTGGAGGAGTATCTTTTGATATATTTTTTTTAATTGTAAGAAGCCTTGTTTCATAAATGAAGAAGAAAGTGAATTAGAACAGAATAAGAGATTTTAGACAAAATTTCTATATTGATAGCTAGAAATACAACCTGCCATATTTTGAAGCTGGATCCAAATTGGACTTCCTTGAAGTAGGAGGTTCTTTAGTGGAAATGGAAGAGGCCCTAGAGGCTGGAAAACAGGAATTATCATGAGAATCAAGTGGTTAGGCAGTGACTTAATACAGCAAATGGTGCAAAGAGGGTTGCCTTGCCCATATGATTTTGAAGAACATATGAGACATTTAAGTTTATTAATTAACAGCCAATTTATTGATTTCTACTTTTACCAAATCAGCAAGGCAAAACAGTCCTTTCCCACATCTGCACTTCAAGCTGAAAGTTACTTTTTTCTTTGACTGATTTCTTGTTGTTCCTTCGTAAAGTCGGTTCTGATTCATTTTGTTGTTGTGAAGTGCAGTCGAGTTAGTTCCGTCCTATAGCAACCCTGTATAGTTTCCTAGGAGAGGCTGGGGGGTTTGAACCACTTGAACTTTATGGTTAGCAGTTCACAGCTTATCCTACAGTGACACACTAACTCTAAACTACCTTAGAGGATAATATACCAGGATGCTGTAAAAGTTATGCATTAATAAAAAAAATTTTGTGATGGCATGACTGGTTAGTGTTACAAAAATATATACTAAGAATAAGAGTTCAAATAGGAGGGGACTTCCAAATGAATGTGGTAAAATTTCATTATCTTTTTATTCTATTTTAATATTTATTCATAGTCTGTATGGATAGCTTTAAAACTTGAAAGATGCTTTAAAAAGGAAAGAATTATTTAGACTGAAGTGATGTATTACAATATATGTATATATATTTAGCCATATAAAAGGTAGCTAAAAAATAACCGAATTATGTTTGGCTAGAAGATTCTTAGACTTTTCTGATACACTTATCAGTTGACACTTTGTTCCAAGACAGTGTGGACTGACTCACAAATTTAATTTCAGTTTTACTGAAGATAAGTAGTGGTATGCTAGTTTTTTATATAAGTGAACTCATTTATGAAGGACAAAAAAACCAACAGTCTAGAGTGTGGGTAAAATCTGCTGCAAAAGATCTTTTTTTTTTTAAAGTAATAAAGAGCAAAGATGTCACTATGAGGACTAAGGTGCCCCTGACTCAAACCATGGTATTTTCAGTCACCTCATATGCATGTGAAAATGGAGCAGTGAATAAGGAAGACTGGAAAATAATTGATACATTTGAATTATTGTGAAGAACATTGAAAGTTTGCCAGAAAAACAAATCTTTTTTGGAAAAAGTACACCTGGAATGCCCCTTAGAAGTGAGGCTGGTGAGACTTGGTCTCATTTACTTTGGACTCCAGAGGAGCCAGTCCCTGGAGAAATACATTGTACTTATAAACTAGAGGGTCAGCAAAGAGGAAGATGACACTGTGGCAGCAACAGTGAGCTCAAAGTGAGCAGCGATTGTGAGGATGGAGCTGAGCAGGGCAGTGTTTGGTTCTGTTGTACGTAGGGTCACTGACTCTAGAGTACCTAGCAACAACAGAAGTCTAAAGATGAAAAGTGTTTTATCTTTAAGTACTTTCTTTAAAAAATATCCTAGGCAGTCATGCATTCCCAATAGTCAGAAGCTGTTTACCTTATTGCCTTGATGCTAAAATGAATGATTTTTCACATTTAAATTTTTTTTTTAAATCTTCATGTGCCTTGAAGTCAGCAAACATTATATCTATCATTTTCTTTTCACCTTATTATTGAATTTATAATCCGTCAGCCAGTGATACTTTAAAATGAGGGGACCTGGTGTTTCTGGTTTTACCAAACAAATTCTGATTTTCTGTGGAACTTTGGCTAAGTCATTATCTGGGCCTCGACACCAGTGTGTGATACCTTTAAAAGCTTTATATTCCTCAGATTCGTTCCGAGTTTAAAACCAGCATTTGTGAGCACACTGTCTTGTCTTTGCTTGATAAAGATTCTTTTGAAAAAACAATTCTATCCGTAAAGATTTTGTTTGTCTTCTTTTGTTGAAGGTCTACTTCAGGAAAGGAAAAGTACTCCATGATGCAGGTTTCTTAGGTGATGCCTTACAACTATTTCTTCAGTGCTTAGCCCTTGATGAAGATTTTGCACCTGCAAAACTGGAAGTAGAAAAGGTAATCTGTTTACAGACTATAGTAGTTCAAGGCAGGGCTAAAACTGGTCCTTTTCCAAATGCCAAATAGAAGATTGGATTAGAAGCTTAAGTGTATGAATCAAATCTGGTAGCAATTTGACATTTCATACTTCTGAAATCAGAACATTTCACTCACAGGCATTAAAATGCAATAGTTTTGCTTAGAAAAATTTGGAAGTTCCTTAATAGTGTGTTCTGTCGTTCCTTAACAGTATGTTCTGTCTGAGCCAGACTAGTTGTCCTTCATCAAATATTGCTATCATGCTATTTCTGCTCAGGAATATTGATTGGCCTGTCTTTTGCCATTTACTTCAGATGGATGCTCTGCTTACTTTCCATGAGTGCCAGTGGCACTCTCCTCACACACACCAGACTCATAGTGACTCAGTATTAGGTTTCTGAGGCTGTACATCTTTTGGGATCAAAAAGACTTAATCTGTCTTCTGCAGAGCAGCTGGTGTATTTGAATTGCTGACTTGTGCTTAGTAATCCACTGCTCCAGTCAGCTTATTTAGCTTTATTTTTTTTCTCAATACTCCATACATGACTTTTTGTTTTATGGTGGTATGTATTAATTTTAGAAAATGGCAGGGGCTGGAAGCAGGAGTGAGGTGGTCCTCTGGTCTTATGACTTTAGGAAATACTGGATTAGACCAGGTTAAACAGGTTTCTTCAGAATTTATCCATCTTTTTATATGCTAGCATGAAAAGAGCATCTAGCTTTTCTCAAACTGAGTCACAGAAATCTAAATGACTAGTATCTTTGAAAACACTCTTTGGGAAAATCTACCTTAATACAAATTCGTTGCCCGCATCATGATGTTCTCATTATTGTTGTTGTTGTTGTTAAGTGCCGTTGAGTCGATTCCGACCCATAGCGACCCTGTATAGGGTTTCCAAGGAGCAGTTGGTGAGCTTGAACTGCCGATCTTGCAATTCAAATGGCTTTGCACTCTGGCGCATTAACCCACAGCGCCACACCAGGACTCTGATGTTCTCATAATTACCCCCAAACAGGACCCATTATGTATCTCCTTTCTAGTGTTTGTTGCAGTGTGGCTCGTGACTTCTATATCAGAAGCACCTAGGTACATGTTTGATATACCACAGCCCTATGGAATCAAAATCTCTGGAGCTGGAACATATTTAACAAACACGCCAGGTGAATCTTTTGTACCCTTAAGTATGAGAACTTTGAAATTTTCCTCAGGTCTCAACTCCCATATGAATCCAGCCAACATTGATAATATCTTCTATGAGGTATATTGTGGAGGAATTTCATAAAGTTCATGAACAAATGGAATTTAAAAATCATGGAATTTTTCTCATACGCTGTAATCCATTGATTTAGAATAAATTGTTCACTGTTGTGTGTTGTATGAGTATTCCATGTTTGTTAATGCTATTCCTGGTGAATTGCAAAGTTTTTAAGAGCTTATAATTTTGCATTTTCCATGTTCCTGGACATACGTACATTTGTGGCAATATTTGTTTTTTTGGGTAATAAGGTCAAGTGAATGCAAAACAACTGATGTTTTGAAATATTTTCTTTTTCACATATACTATTGTTATTATGTGCCGTTTAGTCAGTTCTGACTCATAGTGACCCTATGCACAGCAGAAACACTGCCCAGTCCTGTACCATCCTCACAGTTATTCCTATGTTTGAGTCCATTGCTGCTGCCAATCCATCTTGTTGGGAGTTTTCCTCTTTTTCACTGATCTTCCACTTTACCAACCATGATGTTCTTCTCCAGGGAGTATTTCCTCCTGACAGCATGTTCAGTGTATGAGAGACTTTAAAAATATATACTTTAAAAATAAAACTCTACTTCCCACTATAATTTTTTTCAGTTGTGATATTATTTACATGTATAAACTGGATAGATTTTGTAGTTCACTGAGTTTATGGAAATGTATATGACCATGTAACAGCACCCCAATCAGGAAACCCTATACAGGGCCGCTATGGGTCTGAATCGACTAAATGGCACCTAACAACAACAACAATTAAAACATCATTCTAGAATGTTCCCTTAGTCTCCTTTCCTATAAATCCTTAACCTAATCCCAAAGGCAGTTACTATTCTGACTTCTGTCCCCATAGAGTAGTTTTGCTTATTCTGGAACCTCACCTGAATGGAAGCATAACAGTATGCACTCTTTTCTCTCTTGTGTCTGGCTGTATTTTTTTTTTTTTTTTTTTTTTTGTATAACACATTTTTTTTTTTTAACTTTTTGTTTTGAATTGTGTGAAGGTTTACAGACAGATCATATGTTTTATATTCACCTTGTCTCATCTCAATGATTGCAGTTTCCCTCCATGCAGCAACAGTTACCCTATTTCCATTCCACCCACTTTCCCTTTGCCTTTCAACTTTGTCCTTAGGAAAATGTTGCCTGCTTGATTTTGAAGGATTGACCATTCCATTGTGACATACCTTTATTGTTGTTGTTGTTGTTAAGTGCCGCGGAGTCGGTTCCGACTGTACAGGGTTTCCAAGGCTGTAAATCTTTACGGGAACAGAAAGCCTCATTTTTCTCCCGCGGGACAGCTGGTAGTTTTGAACTGCTGACCTTGCGGGTCACAGCCCGATTCGTAACCACTACGCTACCAGAGCCTCCTTACCAGTGTTATTGTCTTCCCTATATGCCTATCTTCTGCTGGCTGAAAATTGGGCTGTTACGGTGAGTTCTTTTCCAGATCTAAAGAGTGGTTAAGGGCTTTAATCTCATGTTCGTCTAGTCCCTTTATGACCACTAAGCCTGGTCTTTTTTTTTATAATTTTGCATTTTGTTCTACATTTTGTCTCACTCTGTCTGGGACCTTCTCACGTGATAACTTTCAGAACCTCTGGTAGCAGTAGCCAGGCACCATCTACTTCTTCAGCTCTCAGAATCAACAGACCATGTTTTTGAGGTACATCCATATTTTCCTTTCTATTTTATTATTCACTCAATTGAATGAACATCTCATAATTTGTGGTATTCACATTTAGTAATTGTTCACCAAGTGACTTTCATTTGGGATGTTTCCAGGGTTTTTTGTTTTGTTTTGATGAATAAAACTTCTGTGAACATTCTAGTACTAATCATTTTGTATACATTGTTTTTGTATCTTTAAGGCAAATACCTAAGAGGGAAACTGAATTGCTAGGTTATAGGTTAGGTGTGTGCTGAATACTTTCGTTGCTTTTAATCAGAGGAAATGTAAAAACATAAATCTTTGTTCATTAAGTGAGGTATTGATTAGACACCTAATAGGAATGCATACTTTCATTTTACATTGAAATTACTTCCTTGCAATAAATTGTGACTTTTTCCATGTTTTATGTATTTGAATGCTAGATCAAATGAAAATTTCAAAACCAAATTTAGGTTTTGAAAATGTTCCAACTACTTGACACCTAAAACTTTCAGAATCTCTTTCATTTCCTACTAACAAGGTCTTCCCCTATCTTAATCTACATTATTTTTCCTTCAGAGTTTTAGGTGTATTCCTGATATTAGCACCCGAGATATTTTCTTTAGCAGCTATTCTGAAGGCAGCTGCCCTTTGTTGCTCCCAGTAAAGTGCTGAGTAGTATTGATTGTCACAGAAGATTAGCTGTTCAGTGAAAACTACTTTCAGTGTAAATACAGGGAATTTTAATAGTTTTCACTTAGAAGCACAAGTTCTTTAGTTCACATAAAAACTTCTAAGAACAACCTTAACATTTATTATTGTTTCATTAATCTGTTTTTATTACTTTCTATTGTTTTATTATTTTCTACTTCTCTTAAGAGCTCCTTTCCTTTTGTTTTTTATAATCGTATTTCAGTTACCCTTTATGTTGGGCACCTTCTCATTCTGCTACTCTAATTATTCCATGCCTTCTTTTTGAAGTTTAAGTTGTGGTTTTCAGATGTTTTGACCCTATTGAATCGACTAGCCTAGTTTTTGTTTTGTTTTGTTTTGTTTTTCAAGACTTTTCTTCAGTTTAGCAATTAGTTATTTTTATCATATGAGGCACCCATTAAGCCAAGAACTTGCTGAGATGTAGATACTTGCTTCAAATTGAAAATGCCAAACCATATGAGATACCAACTTCAGTAATTATTGCATCAGTGGAAATTTGACCTTTTTTCCACCAATTTCTGGACTTTAGCCACAGGTTCTTCATTCATTGTGGTTGACTGTCTTTCTTCTCTTGGTTAATTTTTGAGGTCTTCCTGACCTTCCATGGAATGATTGTTCCATCTAAAAACTATTGTGTGGGGCAGCATTCCCGTAAACTTGTTGCAAAACTTCAATGATTTGGAAAGATGTTTAATTGAGTTTTGTTAAAAATTTGATATTAGCCCTGACCTCAATATTTCCATGGCACAAAAAGTGTTTATTTATTTACTTATTTATTTTTTAAAGGCTCCCTAGAGTCCTGATATGGCACTGTGGGTGTATGCGCTGGCCCGCAGGGTCAGTTTGAACTGCAAGGTTGTCAGTTCAAGCCTACCAGCTGCTCCTTGGAAACCTTACACAAGGTTGTCATGAGTAAGAACTGACTCTATGGCACTTAATAACAACAACAACAACAACAACAACAAAGAAATTTAAGTCCTGGTGTGGCGTTGTAGGATAAGCACTCAACTACAAAGTCGGTTTGAACTGTAAGGTCGGCAGTTCAAATTCACCAGTCACTCCTTGGAAACCCTATACAGGGTCGCTAAGGGTTGGAACCAACTTGATGGCATTTAACAATGACAACAATGAGACTAAGGAATCCTGGTATGGCACTGCTGGATTAAGCAATGGACTGCTAACCAGGAAGCTGACAGTTCAAACCCACCAGCTGCTCCTTGGAAACTGTGTGTAGGGTCATTGTGAGTTAGAACCAGCTTGATGGCACTTAACAACAATTAGACTATGACAAATATATTACTGAGAACTTGTCTGCAGTCATTCTCTGATCACAGACACATATTCAAACACATTTTGTTTGGAATAAACCCATGCATATGTGTTCTGGAATCCTAGAGTAATAAATGTATTTGATTTAGCCTCGTGTTACCTATCCTGTTGAGTCCTGGTGTGGCACTGTGGGCTAATGCGCCAGGCTGCAAAGTCATTTGAACTGCATGTTCAGTGGTTCAAGCTCATGAGCTGCTCCTTGGAAAACCCTATATAGGGTTGCTGTGGGTTGGAATCAACTCGACAACACTTAATAACAACAACAGCAACATTCTCCCATGGCCCATTAAAAATAATGCCTGCTGAAAACTTTGTAAAAATTCTTAAATATTAAGTAAATTTATATTAAATTCTCCAGAACCAAATATTTTCTATTGTTATAATTTCTGTAATACTTACCTTACAGATTTTGTGTGATTTATTATCTCCTGAAAACTTAAAAGAAGGCCTGAAGGAATCTTCTTGGAGTTCATTACCATCTGCAAAAAATAAAACTTTTGGATTTCCTTCAGTAATGGAAGAAACTTACTCTCCTAGTGATCTTAGCCCAGAGCAGGTAAGGGATGAAAAGGATGATCTTTGGTTTAGCAGATCTATTATCTTTACAAACTGAGATCTTCGCAGTCCTGATTTCAAGTGCAGATTGCTCTCAGCTATCTCAACTATATAAATAACAAGTAACCACACTAAGGAGCTTCTTTTTTTTGGTGCATCTTGTTATTATTAATATGTATTGCATATGGTATTACAGCTCCTGTTACCCTTCTCAGATGTTCATTCACAAATGTTTAATGGATCAATGGAATGATTTACAAAGATAATGGAAATAATAATAATGAAAACTAAAAGAGAAAAAGGACACCTTCAATTTATATTAGAACCCACATACACTGTGGCTTTTGAAATTAAATAGCATTGTAATTTGAGGACTACCTATACTAGGATTTAAGGCTTTTAACCTATTTGACTAGTTTCTGTGGAGTTCATTCTGATTCCTGGTGATGCTGTTTGTGTCAGGATAGAATTGTGTACCATGGAGTTTTCAGTGGTTGATTTCTCACAAGTAGATTGCTTAGACTTTTTTTCAAGGTGCCTCTGACTAGACTTGAACTTGCATCCTTTCAGTTAACAGCTGAATTTATTAGCCATTTGCATCACCCAAGGCCACCTTTAGCTTGTTTAGCATTATCTTAGTATAATTTGATCTGTGGCCTTTTATTTGAAAGCATATCTGTTTGTATGAGATAGTTGCTGATTAATCACAGTGTTAGGTCACCTGAATACCAGAACACATCTAGTCTCTTAGAATTCATTTTAGTGTTCTCAGGGTTAGAGCAAGTATAGTAACATGATTGTTCAAGTCTCATTATAACATAAGCCACCTTGACGTCTGTTGCTATGTAAGTACATGCAAAATCATTTACTTTCCAAAGTTTTGGAATTAAAACTTAGAGATGTTACAGTGAATATGATAAAACATTGAAATTTCATTTCAGTTTGGTTCCTAGTAAGATTAATATTCTGTTATCTAAAGAATAGGGTCGCTGTCAGTCAGAATTGCCTTAATGACCTGCAACAAAGAATTACAGTTATTTTGTTTATTGTCCTGTTGTATAGAATGAAGCAATTCCAGAGGTCACTTCAGAACCTGTCAAAGGAAGCTTAAACCGGGCTCAGTCAGCACAAGCTATCAATTCAGCAGAAATGCCTGCCAGAGAAGATTGTTTAAAAAGAGTTTCCTCAGAGCCTTTACTCTCAGTTCAAGAAAAAGGTGCTCTGCTGAAAAGAAAGCTGTCTCGTTTAGAACAGGATGTGGTAGTAAATGAAGATGGAAGAAATAAGCTTAAAAAGCAAGGAGGTAAAAGTATTGCTAGTCTTTTATATAAAATAAATTGATTTATTCAAAATGACCATTAATTTTTTTTTTTCTTAACAAAGATCATACTTTATGTTTTGATAGAAACTCCCAGTGATGTCTGTACATTATCTTTAGTTTGTGGTGACATCCCAGAAGAATTAATAGATGTCTCAGATTTTGAGTGTTCCCTCTGCATGAGGTAAGTATATAAAATTTTATAAAAGATGAGTATTTTGTATTAGTATAAATAAAAGTATGGCAATAAATAAACACAGTAATAGACAATATAGCATAATACTGTGCTAAAAACAGAAAGATACATACATTTTAATACTAGGTCTATCCTTTTATACTTCGGGCACATTATTTCACCTCTGACCCTTGATTTTCCTTATTGAGCAAGTGGTGTCTGTATAGCTGTGTTTTGAGAATCAATGGCTAAAGTATAAAAAGAACCTGGGAGATTGTAAAGTGCTATAAAGACTTTCATAAAACGTGAAGGTATTATTGAGCTTAAATAATTTTGTGGGTGAGAATATTATGTACTAGGTATAATGATTCTTTCTTGTTAGTTTATTTTAACCATAAAATCATTTTTATGTAATATTGGATAAGGATTTTCATTAGTCAGAATATTTTTAATTCTAGAAGATTAATGTTTTTAAAAAGAGCATTTCAGCAATATAAATAGTGGTTGTTAGAGCCAAAGGAACATTGTGTGAAGAGTCAGGAGACCCTGTGCTATCCAGTCTCATCTGGTAGTAACCAGCTATAGTCCTGAGATGTTCTTTCACTCTTAGCCTCAGAGGTGAGGTGATTAGACCAGGCAATGACTAACATACTTTACACATTTAGCAGCATTTCCTAGGATTCAGAAGTATCAAGAAATATATATAATATAAAGTAAAACTCATTTTTATGCATGTGGATTGTTTGGATTTCATATACAGTGAACCATATGAGAGCTGGTGCTCGAAGACTTACCTTGTTTATCTGGGGCTCGGAACTTTTCTACCTTTGACAGGGTGCACTCATACCACTTTTCTATCACTTCATTTAGTGGGAGATACTTGAGATTTCCTTCTCTGATAAGTTTCCACCTTATACAGATTCTGACTTTTGCAGGTTTTACTCTTTAGTATTGTTGTTAAGTGTCATGTCAGTTTCGACTCATTGCAATCCTATTGGGGTGTTGAGGTCTAATGCACTGGACTGTATAGTCAGTTTGAACTGCAAGGTTGGTGGTTCAAGTTCACCACCCGCTCCTCAGAAACTCTATATAGGAACGCTGTGGGTCAGAACCTACTCTACAGCACGTAACAACATAGGCTTCAAAGGCGTGGCTGGTGGGTTTGAGTCACCAACCTTAGGGTTAGCAGTCCAGTGCTTATTCTACAGCATCACACCAGAACTCCCATATACAGAACTGTATAATACTAAGGGTTACTATTTAGAATTCAGGAGCCCTGGTGTGGCACTGTGGATTAATGCACTGTACTGCACAGTCTATTCGAACCACAAGGTTAGTAGTTCAAGCTCACCAGCTGCTCCTCAGAAACCATATACAGAGTTGCTATGGGTTGGAACCAACTTGGGAACATTTAACGACAACAAAATTTAGGATTCAACTGTAATATTTATGAGATATTCTTATTTATGAATTTTGTATAGTAAGGCTATTAGTAATGACACACTTTGCATTACTTATTTCAAACCAAGTCTTCGAAATCTTGTGTGCATTTCATGTGCATCTCTCAATTTGCCTATGTACATTTCAGGCGCTTATTAGTCTCATGTGACTGTTTTTGGTTAAATGCCGTCATCTCGGTTCTTTCTTGACTCATAGCTATCTCATATAGGATTTCTGAGGAGCAGCTGGTGAGCTTGAACCACTGACTCTGGGGTTCATTACACTAGGACTCATGTGACTGTTGTTGTTATGGTCGGTTCCGACCCATAGTGACCCTGTACAGAGTTTCCGAGGCTGTAAATCTTTATGGGAGCAGAAAGCCTCATCTTTCTCCCGTGGAACAGCTGGTAGTTGTGAACTGCTGACCTTATGGTTCGTAGCCTGATTCGTAACCACTATGCATGTGACTAGTAGCTGTCATATTAACCCAGCTGGACTCCTGGGTTAATAAGGTTGGTGGTCCTTTCCCACCAGCCACTTCTTGGAAACCATGTACAGGATCACTGTGTGTAGGAACCGACTTTACAGCACTTAGCAACAACAAACCTTTCACAAGGTACTCTGTGGATGGAGAACTTAAGAAGTCCCCACCCACTGCCATCAAGTTGTTTCTGATTCATAGTGACCCTGTGTAGGATTTCTGAAACTCTAAATCTTTACAGAAATAGAAAGCTCATCTTTCTCCTGTGGAGCCACTGGTTGCTTTGAACCGCTGACCTTGTGTTATCAGTGCATTGTTTATCCTGCAGTGCCACTAGAGCTCCCTTGCAAAAAGTTCAGAGGTGCATAATTACATTTACCATTGCCCTGGGCAGCCTACCCTACCTGCTGGGCCCTCCTTCTTCCTCCATAATAATGGTCCCATTATTAAGATTAGTGTGTTCACAGTTTCCACTAAATAACTTGATGTAAGTAAAAACTAACATGTATTTTTGTTTAACTTCAGGTTGTTTTTTGAGCCAGTGACAACCCCTTGTGGACATTCATTCTGTAAGAATTGTCTTGAACGTTGTTTAGATCACACACCATATTGCCCACTTTGCAAAGAAAGCTTAAAAGAGGTAAATGTTTGTATACACATGTGTTTATTGCCCTTAAATTTGGCAATAAGGTTTGATTTCTGTTTAGTCATGAAAACAGTCTCTATTATGTTAAAAATGAGTTGCATTATATATACTAAGTGACAAAAGAGGATACTATTTTATACCTATATGCTAATGTTGCAGAAAACTGATAGGTTGTAGGAGAAGAGAAGTTATGAAGACCAGGCCCCTTGTATTTTGGTTTTTAAAAAAATGTGTGATATGTGTGGTCTGGTCTGGTCAAGTCTCTTGGGTAAAGATTATTCTGTTTTAATGACAAGCATATTGAGGATACCCCAGTGCTATCTCCTCCCCCCTGAGGCATGTTTCATCCCCCTGTACCTCTAGAACAATGCTCTCCCTTAGTACTTTCTGCATTGATAGAAATATTCTATATCTGTGCTATCCAAATGGTAGCCATTAACCAGGAGTGGCTATTAAACACTCGGGATGTGGTCACTGTGACTGAGGGGAAGTGTATTTTTAATTTTATTTAATTTTTATTAGATTTCGGAAGGCGTCTGTGGCTGGCAGCTGCCACCTTGGGCCACACAGCTCTAGAAAGTGGTAGACTGGAAAGAAGAGGGGGAGGCATAGCTTCCCACACCCTGCTTGTATAATCAGTGATCCATGCTAATAACTTACAATAGGAAAAACTAGAGACCTCAAATGGGTATCTGTGTAGCTGATGGGGAGACAGCACCTGAATCATTCATGCTTGAATGAGTGGAGTGAAGCGGAACAGCAATGGTAGTGGCAGCATTTAATAGGCAGAGGTGACAGAGTTGGTTAAAGAAAAAAGAGTCTTCCAAATATGAATAAACAAGCTAATAAAATGGATTTTATTATCGAATATGCTTGGAGTTATATCCTATATAGAAAAAATGGATATGGATATTATAATAGCCATATGTATTGTGGAAGTCCTGGTGTGGTGCTTCAGAATAATGCACTAGACCACAGGGTACATTTGAACCTCAAGGGTGGGTCAGACCCAACAGCTGCTCCTTGGAACCGACTCGATTATACTTAACAACATGTGTATTGTTACATTTCATGTCTTAAAATACAGAAACCAAAACCATTTCCAGAATGTTCACAATGTTGGGAAACATAAGATAAACTTAATTCTTAAGGAGTTTTTTAAGTTACATTTTTAACAAATATGTGCAGTATTTTTAGATAAGTATTCTAAACATACTATTTCCCCTGTTTCCAGTAGTTATAGCTATTCTCTTATCTTATCCTTTTTTCCAGATTAACAATTATATCCATTAGTTTATATTTAGTATATAAAAAAAAAACCTACTGCCATGGAGTTGATTCTGAATTATGGCCACCCTACGTAGGGTTTCTGAGGCTGTAAATCTTTATGAGAGCACAAAGCCTCATCTTTTCTCTCATGGAGCAACTGGTGTATTCAAACTGCTAACTTTGCAGTTAAGCAACCCAACATGTAACCCACTATTCCACTAGTGCATTTAAACATCTTGGTGTGGTGCTGTAGGATAAGCAGCACTAGACTGTAAACTACAAAGTTGGCAGTTCATACCCACTAGCTGCTCCTCAGAAACCCTAAATGGACTTGACATTATTTAGGAGCAACAACCACTTAAAAATATTTGGAGTTTAAAGAAAAATACATTAAACATGTAACTTGAAGATATAATTAGCTTCTTGTGTAAGTATAAGTTTATTCAGTATCCCAGCTTTGAAAAACACACCTCATATTCAGCTAAACCTGTGAGAACCAGAACTTGATGGGAATGCTCTTGTTTTTCTGGGCCTCACATGTTTACTCCTTTGACAAGGTGCTGCCTTGCCACCTTTCTATCACTCATTTTAGTGAAAAATATTTGAGTTTTACATCTTTGACAGGTCTTGACCTTTCATAGGTTCCAGCTATCCCAGTTTGTAATGTAATATGATTTGTAAAATATAAATATATAATGAAAACATAAATTGGCATACTCTACATATAGTTTTAAGGAGCTCTGGTAGCGTAGTGGTTACGAATTGGGCTGCGAACCTTAAGGTCAGCAGTTCGAAACTACCAGCCGCTCCTCGGGAGAAAGATGAGGCTTTCTACTCCCGTAAAGATTTACACCCTTGGAAACCCTGTACAGGGTCGCTATGGGTCGGAACCGACTCGACGGCACTTCACAACAACATATAGTTTTATACTTTTTAACTTATTTTTTCTCATTTCTTCATTTAAAACATAATTTTCATAGCTGCATAGTTCCCCAGTGAATTAACATTTCTGTTATTTTGATCTTTTACAAATATATATAATGCCTTAATGAATATCATTTAAAATTAATGATTGATCTATATTAGACCATTTCCTTAGGATAAAATCCTGGGAAGTTAATTACTGCATCAAAGACTATGTGTTACAAGGCTTTTAAAACCTATTGTCAAATTGCCTTTAGGTATTTGAAATACTAGAATCATAGCTTTCAGTATTGCAACAACATGTAAGCTACCACAGTACAACAAAATGACAGACAAATGATGGGAATTACCTTCCGGCCCCATATGCACACATTTAGATTCCTGTTAGCATTACCAGAGAAGTTCTGTTTCTCCAAATTTAATACAGAGATAAAAATTTTATTTTATTTTTGAGGTGTTAATTGTAAATACATCTTTATTAATTTAAGAGAAAATGGTGATAGGACTGCTTTATTAATGTTTAAAATTTGATGCATTTTATAATAAACTCTTTAAGTTCTCTGTGCATAGATTCTGTGCTAAAGGGTACTCTTCTGCAGGCTGTAGCTAAGCCAGTGGTTCTCAAAGTGTGTTCCTTGGACTAACAGTATCTGCATCACTTTGAAACTTTGTTAGAAATGCAAATTCTCAGACCCTGCTCCAAACCTACTAAAACAGAAACTCTGGGGTGGACCTCAGTAGTATGTATTTAAATAAACTCTTATTCATGCTAAAGTTTGAAAAGCTCTACTGTAGCCAATTTCCCAGCTTCTCACATTTCTTAGTCTGTTCTTCATTGGGTAATTACAACTTCCCCCTTTATATTTGCTGGTTCTGCAGATGAAAGGATGGCTTCTCTTTATCTTTTCCTCACTCATTATGCTTATTTGGGCATTTTCTTTGCCTAAAGTTCTGTGCACACATCCTGACCTGGTCCCTGGCCCTGATCAATTTTTAGTTTGATTCCTGTACCATGATATGTCTGTGTCCCCATAATTCAGTTTACAGTATGGCAATTGCCTTTTGTTTGTAGCACAGGGGGCTTAAAAAATAATTAAGAAAGGTAAAGCTTTTTGAGCCAGACCTTAAAAGACAGGTAGGTTTTTCATAGGCAGAGTTGTTTTAGCTGGCTTTTAATACTTGGAATAAGGAATGGCACAAATGCATGAGGTAAATGCTTTTTTAAAGAGCATTCAGGGAGTTATGTTAAATATACCATTTGGTTTACAGTCAGAGGAATGGATCATGTAGGAACAAAAACCTCTTGACTTCAGGGTCGGAATGACACTGGAAAGAAATGACAATGACAATGGAAAGAAAATCTGAAAGAAAGTTTATCAGAATATTATTTCACTGAAATTGTGAACAAAGAAAAGGGATAGTCTTATTTTCCTTAAATAAGGCAAAATATATTGTTTTCTTATATTCCTTATTTAGTTTTTGTTTCTCAGAACAGTAGTGTCAGGTACCCAAGAGCTGTCAGATGTCAATTGGCCTTTGATGTGGGAGATGGTAGGGGCAGGGTTGATTTCTGCTGATAAAAGGATTTCTGATCATGGCAAGAGAACGAACAATCTCATGTACTGTGCTTGGTTCAAGTTGTAACCATGTATCTTTGATACTCTCCAGCAGAGCTTTATGCAGATTTTCCTTTGACTTCATGCATTATAATGTTTCCCCCTACTAATTAAAGTAATTCTGAATTGACTGTATATGTGTATAATAAGAGCTTTAATATCTCAGTTCAACTCTTTTGCCTGTATTGTATTATAGGAAAAAATTTACTGGATTGTAACATAATACTGTCTTTTAGTATCTAGCAGATAGGAGGTACTGTGTCACACAGCTGTTGGAAGAATTAATAGTGAAGTATCTGCCTAATGAGCTGTCTGAGAGAAAAAAAATATATGATGAAGAAACTGCTGAACTCTCACAGTAAGTTTCTTATAAAAATTAACACATACATAATCAAATTATGAACTATTACCCTTCAAGATAGAGGAGAAACCTTCTTACAAGTTGGATCCTTTCTTCAGTTCACAGTCTAGTCAAAGGCACATTTTCAACAGGTAGTGGTCAGTTCATCTGGTAAGTTCCCAAAGTTCTGTTGGGAATTACTGATTTAGCTCCCTGTGCTAAAGCAGTATTACATTTATGTGGGGAGGAATTTCCTGCAATAACATCAGGAAACAGAGAATAGAGAGGTGGAGCCGAAAGTAGTGATGCCAGCAACCCTGATGTATCATGGCAGGGCAGTAAATGGATCAGGAGGACAGTGGAACAGAAAGGGCCAAGTAGAGAGCTGGAGGGGGATGAGACCTTGAGGCTTGAGATCAAAATTGAAAGGGGTGACTGAGAGTCAAATCTTAGGTAATGAAAGTGTAGACTGGGAACAGGATGGAAGTGAACATTAGGAAGGAAAAGCCTGAGTCAGTACGAGATGACACTGGGGTTTAATGGTACATGCCACTACTAAGAGGACCTCATGGTGAATCAAGGCTGCATGGGTTGTACTTGGTTTTGTTTGTTCTGCAATTTTTCTCTCTCATACTTTTCTTCTTTTTGTTTTTTTTAACCCCCTTTATATTGCTTGTCTTTAACCAGTCAGATGGATCTCTCTTTCTTTCTTAGCTTTTTAGTTCTTAACTCTCACTTTCTTTTAATAGCATACACTAAAAGAAAAAAAGATACAATTTTTTATGCTGTTCTTATTTTAACAACTGTTTGTTCCTATTGTCTTTGACAATATAAATTGAACATTTTACAATTCTCAATTTCTAAAAAAGAAATTTATTGCACTTGTGTGTGATCTTTACTTTTTCAGTATATGCCCATCAGATTTATTTTGTGGTCAATGGCCAAGACAAAGAGTTCTCTACTTTACAAACATTGCTTGTCTTCTTAAGGAATCGGTATTTTTTTTTTAAGGAATCGGTATTTTATCATGTGATTTTTATGGAAAGTGCCTGGTAGAAAATACTCTGTTGTGCAGATTATGAAGCTTTTTATTGACACAGAAGACTGTGAATATAAGAAAGCCACAGTTAAACTTTTAAAATCCTCAACACAGTGATGCATCCTGACTGCCATAGAAGAGGGTGTAAACCCATGACAATAGAATTGTAAAGTGAGGAGAGCTGAGAGAGTGATTTCTTTTCTGTTTACTCACTGGTTATTTTATTTTTAAAAACACTAGGGCAACTCATTCAGTGGCACTTAAAAAACAATTTTCTAATTCATAAGCATGTTGTCAGTGTGCTGTGGAATCTATCCCAACTCATCACCACCTGATAGGACAGAGAAGAATAGAACTGCCTCATACGGTTTCCTAGGCTGTCATCTTTGTGGAAGCTTATTGCCTAGTCTTTTCTGTCATGGAGCTGCTGGGTGGGTTTAAACTGCCAACCTTTTGGTTAGCAGTCAACTTGTTAACTATTGTACTAGCAAAGCAAAAACCAGACCCACTGCCATTTGAGTCTATTCCTATTCATAGTGACCCCATCGGACTGCATTAGAACTGCTTCCTGAGACTACATATTTACAGGAGCAGACAGCCTCTTCATTCTCCCTCTGGGTAGCTGGTGAGTTTGAACCACCAACTTTATGGTTAGCAGCCCATTGCTAACCCAGTGTACCACAGAGCTTAATTCATAGGTACTACTGAAATCCTCAGTTATGTTGCTAAGCAGAGTCTCCATGATGGTAAAGTACACATATTATAAGGAGAGGAACTAACTCCTGTATTTTTAAACATGTTTTAATTGACCATTACTTCTGCACACATAATTTAAGATAATGTTCAAGGAAAACTAGAAAATATAAATGAACAGAGTTTGGGGGAAAGCCATATTCCTGCAATGCAGAGGGACTCCCCCTTGATATACTGGCATAAATTCTTCTAGCCTTTACTATATATAAACAAAGTTGGGATCATATTGCTAATTATTCTATGGTCTCTTATATTTAATATAATTTTTTTCAAGTTAATATCTGCATATGTCATTTTTTAATGGAAACAAGATACTTCATTTTGTAAATAAGCCATTAGTCCCCTCTTTTTGGTTCTAAGTTTTGGTTACTATACACAATGCTACAGTGAATATTCCTCTAGCATCTTTAACATGTCACCTTATGTTGGACTAATTTTTGTTTTACATGAATTCATTATTGTTGTGACCTTTACTCATTTTTGTTATATGTTCTAACATACAGTAATGAAACTTTTTTTCTTTTTTAGCTTGACCAAGAATGTTCCAATATTTGTTTGCACTATGGCCTACCCCACTGTGCCTTGCCCTCTTCATGTATTTGAGCCAAGATACAGACTGATGATTCGAAGAAGTATGCAGACTGGAACAAAACAGTTTGGGATGTGTGTCAGTGACACACAAAATAGGTGTGTTTTATGTGTGCTTGTTAAGTGCGGTTAAGTCGGTTCCAATGTTCTTATTTATATTGGAACTGCCTTTGAATATGGTAAAAGCTTGCATGCTGGTACTTGAATTTCAATATTAATCAAAGTTTTTCACTTAGTTTTGCAGATTATGGTTGTATGTTACAAATTAGAAATGTGCATTTCTTACCTGATGGAAGATCTGTGGTTGATACAGTTGGAGGAAAGCGGTTTAGAGTGTTAAAAAGAGGAATGAAGGATGGATATTGCACTGCAGATATTGAATATCTCGAAGATATTAAGGTACTAACGAATGTTCTTTTCCAGAATGCATTAATTTTTCTAAATTTGTTCTTCTGGTAGTCTTTGGTATGTTCAATATTCTTTGCCAATGCCTTAATTCAAATACATGGATTCTTCAGTCTTCCTTATTGTCCAGCTTTCACATGCATATGAAGCAGTTGAAATACTGTGGCTTGGGTTAGACATACCTCAGTCCTCAAAGTGACATCTTGGCTTTTTAATACCCTAAAGAAGTCTTTTGTCGCATATTTGCCCAGTGCAATACATTGTTTGAGTTGACTGCTGTTTCCATAAGTATTGATTGTGGATCCAAGGAAAATGAATTCCTTGACATCTTTAGTCTTTTCTTCACTTATCATGATGATGTTTATTGGTCTGGTTGTGAGGATTTTGGTTTATGTTGAGTTTTATGTAATTCATACTAAAGGCCATACAGTCTTTGATCTTCCTCAGTAAGTGCTACAAGTCCTCTTTCCTTTCAGCAAATATGGCTGTGTCATCTGCATATCACAAGTTATTAATGAGCTCCCTCCATTCCTGATGCCATGCTCTTCATGAAGTCTATATCTGTCTTATAAGTACAGCAAATGCTCCTTAAAAATGAGGATGGTGAGAGTTTGTCTCACAGACATTGGACGTGTTATTAGGAGGAACCAGTCTCTGGAGAAAGACACCATGCTTGGTGGAGTATAAGTGAAAAAGAGGAAGACTCTATACAACAACAACAAAAAGTATTGCAATGAGGATGCCAGTTCATACATTCAAACAAAATGTGTTGGAACATATCCCTAGAATCAGTGAATTGCTGCAGATAAGTTCTCTCAGTAATATACTTTTTAAGTCTGATTAGGGTGCCTTCAAAAAAAATGTTCAGAGTCTTCCCAGTGAATCAGCTGTTGTTAGGTGCCATCAAGCCAATTTCTACTCATAGCAACCCACTATAGGGTTTCCAAGGAGCGACTGCTAAGTTTGAACCATCTGCCTTGTAGTTCAAACCAACCTAGTGGTTCTACACTATCCTACAGTGCCACACCAGGCCTCCATTGGATCAGGTAATGGTAGTGGTGGTGGTGGTGGTTATGTACTGTGGAATCGGTTTTGACTCATAGTGACCCTGTATAGGATTTCTTGAGGCTGTAAATCTTTACTGGAATGGAAAATCTTATCTTTCTCCCATGGAACAAGATCAGAAGGTTGTAGTGACTGTTCTTTGGGGACTGCAAAGGAGTTACCTGGATATATTTTATGAAAGGGCACAAGCTGATCATGGAGAGTTATTAGGAAGAACTATTCAGAAAACTGAAAACTGCATTGGTGAGAATAAGATCAGGAAAGGCCCACCAAGGAATTTTTTCTACCACAGCATTGCATTTGCTCATTGTTTGAGAGTAACAAGGGCTATCCTATAAGAATTTTGTTGAAGAAACCTAACCCCCATCCACTCTATAGCCCTAATCTTGCCCATTCAGACTTCTTTTTGTTCCCCAAGCTCAAAGAACATTAAAAGCAACATGATTTGAGTCCCTTGAGGATGCCACAACTGCTATTTTGATGTACAAATCAATGAGCACAGAGTTCTTTAGGAAAGGTTTAGAGGTTAGAGAAATGGAAACTTCACTTTCAGAAGTGTATAGACCTAGGCGTAGAATATACAATAGCTTCACATTCTCATATTTTTATTTAATAAAAGTGTTTATGATTTTATAACAATATTATTTGACTTGCCCTCATAAATGTAAACAGATGACAGTAGAAAATAGCATATTGGAAAGCATTCTGGATTTGATGAGTTCCCTATGTCTTTGTGATGTTAAGAATTTCTAATAATTTTTCCTCACATTAGTTTTCCTAATCTTTGTAATGATATTCTTGAGAATTCTGGAAAAGCTTCTCAAATTTATGTGTGTATGTTTTGTTTTTTGCTTTAATATCAAAGTCTTTTTGCTTACTGTAGCATTCTGTTTTCTGAGACTCCTAATGAAGTTTAAAATTTTATTATTGCAGTAAGGTTCTTAAACATCTTTCTTTTTATATTTCTGTCTGCTTCTTAGCCATCTCTTTTTTCAACCTGATTCTCCTTTTTTATCATTCTTTCTTTTCTAGAGTCCATGGTTGTTTGGCTCGTGGGTTAGCTTGTGTTTTGTTTTGCTTTTCCCTTGAATTTTTTGAGTATAATGCTGAGGCTATTTAAATTTTTATCTCAAAACAAAGTGCTTTTTGTGCACTCTTCTTGTGTTTTATATTTTAAAATATTTTCAGAGTCCCCTTGTTGTTTTTCTATTTAGTCATCCCTGAAGTATGAAAGGCTGAGTCAGGCTTGGTGTTTGTCAGACGAGTTAATGTATATGAAACAGAACACTGCCTGGCACGTAGTAAGTCGATGTGTCTTTGAGTTCAGTTTATATGTGGTCACTTTCATTCTGTGAGAATACTCTGGGATCTCAGGCTAGAAGGTTGATGTGTGTAAGTTTGCTTTTGCAATTTGGTGATAATAGTCTGAAGAGCGTAAGGAGAAGGTTATAAAGGAAGCCACAGCTGAAGAAGCTCATCTTGCGTAAGTTCTTCTGTATCTTACAAGTCATTTGTTGCATTTTTGTTTGTTTTTCAGCTCTCTATTTCCTGTCAAAAATGTAATCGTGACTGGCCCCATCCTGCCATTGCTTTGTCGTATATTATCTGCATTCCTGCCCCTCGTTTTTTATTTTAGCAACTGTATTCTTTAGGTCACTGCTGTCAGAAGTCAATGATCCATAAAGACAAAAGGATTTCTAATTTTGTTTAGACATTTATCCCAGAAATCTTCCCAATTAGGGGCTATAGGTGGGGGCTGTTGATAGGGTTCCACAGAGTTGCACTCCTAGTTCAGGTATAAAGGTCAGGTCTTGCTGTCTGACGCCACTGGCACTATGTAAGATGGGAAATGTATGTTTCATTTTGCGTAAGAATAATACTCTCTGATACTCCAGCACTGAAGTAGATATTCCCTTCTTTTTCTGATTTTTTTTTTTTTTTTCACTCTGTAGGGGTAGTGATGGGCACAGAGATTAGACCCAGAAGTCTTACTGACTGTTGTATTTCTAGGTGAACAATGAAGATGACATAAACAATCTCCGAGAGCTTCATAACTTGGTATACTCTCAAGCCTGCAGCTGGTTCCAGAATTTAAGAGATAGATTTCGAAGTCAAATACTTCAGCACTTTGGATCAATGCCTGAAAGAAGGGAGGAAGACCTTCAGGTATGGTGGCTTTGGTTTTGCTTGCTCTTCCATTTTTCACATTTCTTCTGAAGCCCCTGCCTTTGGAATCCTGATTGTATTCTCTAAAGCAGTGGGGTTCCATACAGTTTACATAGGTGGTTGTTATTGTTAAGTGCTGTCTAGTCGGTTCCGTCTCATAGCAACTGGGGATAGGGTTTCTGAGGAGTGGCCGGTGACCTTGAACTGCCTATATTGCAAATCATACCAGCCTTCCAGTCCAGTTCATTAACTCACAGCGCTACACTAGGACTCCAATTATATATAGCTAGGGGATGGAAATGGGTCTCAGCTGAGATATCTACCTCAGGGAGTGTACCAGAGAAAGGCCTTAACTAAAGACTTTCTTGAAAGAGGGCTACAGAATGAAAAATGGGACACGGGACCATCCATTAAATTATGACTATAAGACAGCTGAGCCTGTGAGCCAGCCAACTGTTGCCATTACTCTTTGACAGTTATTGAGGATTTATGTGACGTTTTCTGTACTTCAAAAAATATCCCTTTCTTCTCATCCCCTACTTTTTACCCACTCACTTCAAATTCGTTTTCTCCTTTGTGCTTCCTGTAATTCACTTCTCATGAAATGGTTATTTTTTTTCAAGTTTTTTTTATTGTGAATTGAGTGATAGTTTACATGGGAGAACATTGGTTTTACACCATTGTTTCATAGCAATGATTACAATCTCCTCCCTGCATCATCATTCAACAGTATTTGCTTCTATTCCATCTGATTTTCTTTTTGTTGTTTTGGGGTTTTTTGGGGGGTGGGGTGGGGAGGATGTACACAAAAACACTCAGGAATATGTAAAAATTTAAACAGCCAAAGGGAAAGGGCACATTCTGCAAGCCTGCCTCCTGGTCACTCAGTCCCTCTCTTTTTTTTTCCTATATATCTGTTTATTTATTTATTTGTGTTTTATTGTGAATTGTGTGATAATCTACATGGGAGAACATCAGCTTTACATTCATTCCATCATCCATCATTTTGTTGGCATAGTTATCATCCTGTCCATGCATCCTCACCCAACCAAGGGGTGTACCCTGTAAACCTGCACCACCCCCACCCACCACAATCCTCAGCCCCTTTCCATCTCCTGATCCTGAGCCCCCAGCCCCACAGTCTCTTGATGTTGTCTTCTCTGCTTCCATCCCAGGCATCACTGCCTCTCTGGGTAGAATTCCGCTCTTCGCTCTTCTCCATTGATGGTCCCAGGGTCCTCCGCTCCTAGACTGATAAATTAATCACTCCCCTCTTTGTTACAAAATGTCCATCTTTAGATTTCCAACCCTCACAGTCAGTCCTGATAACAGTTATTCACCATCGCATCCCAAGAGACCCATCTATATTTCATTTCATCAGCCCTTCCTGGACAGGCTGGACACCACTCACTGGAGACTCTACCTCCCTCCACGCCCTCTGGATCTAGGTTCCCTCTTGAAAGCTTGTAAGCCAGTCACTTCTTGCCTTTGTATCCCTCCCCCCATTTTGGGTAGCCAATGTCCAAGTTGCCCATCCCTGTCTACCCTTTGTGTGGAGGGGGTGCGTATAGTTCTTACAGCATCAGTCTCTCTCTTTCCATGAGTCTAGAGTCCTCACCTGCTCTCTCTCTCTCTCCATGTCCCCATCTCTGCCTCCATCTGTGGTGTCGCTTCTTCTCTGAATAGGGTCCCACATTCTGCTTGTGCTCTTCTCCCTTGATGGTCCTAGGCTCCTCTGATTTCTGGACTGAAAGATTAAGTATTCTCCGAAGCGGTTATTTTTAAGACCTTGCTCTCAGGTACATAGGGTTTGTACTTAAGCTTAATCTAATAACTACCAGGTACTTTCTGTGTAAGCAGATCTGTGTAGTAGTCTTAAAAGAAGAGACACTGTTATGAAAGAATTTGATTAGAGACTCAACAAAGCACTCGCTTTTAGGTCATAGTTCAATTTTGGATTGAGCAAAGTGTGGTCATTCTCGTAAAGGAATGGTCATAAATAAGTAGAAATAAATGGAGACATATTAAGTTCCACTGTGATGCAAACTGCCTCTCCTTCTGATTCTTAAAGGTTCACCTAAGTCTGAATCAACTAAAACCTTCTCCTGAACTTAAAATGACAGCATCAGTGCATTTCAAGTGTCAGTACTTATTCGGTGTTTAGCATATTATCAGTTGCCACATGCTTATTTTATTGTGGTTACCTGAGTCTGATTGAACATGACAGAAATAACCTTTGATGAGCACAAACCTGAATAAATAAATGATAAATGTTAAACTGGCTTACAGAAAATTTAAACATTAGCCTCCCATTTGCTTGATCATCCTTGTTTTTTATCACCTAGTCTCCTGTTAGTAACATTCTGTAAGACAGGATTTGCTCAAGAAAACAAAAGCACCCCCGTCTAAGACTGAAACTCAAAGGGAACACATGAACAGGCATATAAGCTTGATGATGGTCAACGTTGGTCTCCTGCTGAGTAGAAGAGGGGGAAAGGCAACAATGAAAAAATGGGCTGAGTTCGACCACATTCCGTGGACTCCCGTTGCCCTGGAGATGAAAGAGAGAAGAGGAAGGGCTGGTTGGTCCAAAGTGTGGTGAGACCTGGGAACACCTGGGACCATGGACAAGGACATAGACACAGAGGGCTAGAGCTGAGAGTGAAGCATCCAGCTGATATGAAGTGAGGGGAGAGGCACAATAACCCCAAACTTGCAGATATAGTACCCATTTGACCTAGCCTCAATGGCTTGATGATCAGAACTCGACTAGAGGAAGATTAAAAAAAAAAAAGTAAACAAGGGTAAATTGCTACAATTTTTGGATAAATTAAACAAGGGTAAATTGCTACAATTTGATGAACTTGACATATACTCATGGATGTAGTAGCTGTAAATACCAGCAGAGAGGGAAGGAGTCTTCACATCAAGATCAATGCTATCCCTTGTGTACATAGGATAGATAGGAATGGGCAACTTAAGACACTGGCTGCCTAAAATGAGGCAATAAAGGCATGAAGTGACTGGTTTACAAGGTTTCACAAGGGAGTTTAGTGTAAGAGTGTGTATGGGAAAATAGAGTCCCCACTGAATAGTTTTCATCTTGTCTAGATGCATCTGGTAAAAAGAGATGGGAATAAGATTCTTATGACTCAATAATGAGTAATTGTTATCATGACTAATTGTGACTATCATATTTGTAAAGGTAAACGTTTTGTAACAAAAACAGGGAAGTAGCTAATCTTACAGTCCAGAAACAGGATCCTAGGACCATCAAGGGAGATGAGCACAAGCAGAATGCGGGACCTCATCCAGAGAAGCAGTGACACTAGAGATGGAGGCAGAGATGAGGACATGGAGAGAGGGAGCAGCTGAGGACGTTAGATTCATGGAAAGAGAGGGACTGAGAACTGGTGGCAGGAGGCAGACTTGCAGAATATGTCCTTTAGTGTAAATTATTATATATGCCTTAATGTTGGGGGCAAAAGAAAAAAGAGCCTTAGTGAATAGAGAAAAATACTGTTAACTGATGGTACATGTGTTGTTGTTGTTATGTGCCGTGGAGGCGATTCCGACTCATAGTGACCCTGTACAGGGTTACCAAGGCTGTAAATCTTTATGGGAGCAGAAAGCCTCATCTTTCTCTCTTGAAACAACTGGTAGTTTCGAACTGCTGACCTTGAGGTTCGCAGCCCAGTTCGTAACCACTGCGCTACCAGAGCTCCTTGATGGTACTTGTAGGGAATTATAGTCATTGTAATGAAACAAGGTATATGATTTGTTGAGTGTAAAACTGATGATCTGCCCTGTAAACTTTCACTCAATTCACAATCAAATCATTAAAAAAAAGAAAACAAAAACAGCTACTCTATGTATTCCAGGAATGAAGTGTTTAGTGTCACAATTTTCCAGATGGTCTGTGTTCCATTTCAAATTCCTTATCCCCTCTTCTACAGTATCCTTAGTTATGGGCTGTCTTCTCTGGTATGCACTCTTGTAGGAAGCTCAGCTGACACCCATTTTCATCACCTACTGATGCAAAGTGTGTGAACACCACTGCTCTAGAGAATACAATGCAAATGGAGAATTCATGGAGGATGTAGCATTTTATACAACCATCAGGAGAACTTGCGTTGTGAAGGTCAAGAACATTCCCAATGAAACTCAAGGAATCTGCTGTCTCAGACTTTAGCTTGCAACAGCAAAGCAGAGTGGTCCTCAAGAACTTGCAGGGAAGCTGCTGTAATTATTAGGAATCACAGGGAAGTACCCCCTAGTGTCTCAAGCTACAGCAGTGGAGAGAGCTCTGGAAAGCTTCTGTGAATCTTACACCTTCCCACACCTCTGTCTGCAATAGCCTCCCATTTCCTTAACACTTGCAATTTACATGGGTATGCCTCTGTATTGGCAAAGTCTAATCTGGAAGAGGAGTCCCTGGGTGAATCAAATAGTTAAGGGCTTGGCTACTAACTGCAACGTTGGTGTTTCAAATCCACCCAGAAGTGCCTTGGAAGAAAGACTTACTGATGCATTTCTAAAAGTTGACAACTTTGGAAATCATGTAACACCTGGGTTACCATGAGTTAGAATCAACTCAGTGGCAAATGAAGAAACCAGGAGCTATCTATGGGGACGGGGATTCAGGGAAACGAGTTTTCTGACTTCTCCATTATACTGAAAAGGATGGAAGCCATCCTGAGTTAAGAAGAGAGAGCACACAAATGTGGAACTCCAGTTAGATTCTGTTGTAAAGTGCTGTCCAGTTGGTTCTAACTCACAGTAATGTTGTATGGGGTTTTCGAGGAGCAGCTAGTGAGCTTGAACTGCCGACCCTATGGTTCAAACCACATTTGGCAGTCCAGTGCATTAATGTGCAGTGCTACACCAGGACCTTGTTGAGGTCAATACGGTGATACCATAGCTCCTTTTGTCATTCTGAAACTTTGGTTTGCAGGTTCAGTAAAAAGCGATTGAATATACAGTAAAGATTGCTTACAAAGTTTGTCATTTGAATTTCTAATTTTTCCAATAGCCAGTAGTCAGGCTTTGCATCATCAGAGAGACCCCATGCTGGAGATAATGCTTGTTTTTCAAACAAAAGTGAAAGCTGAGACCATTTTTTTATATCTTTCCTAGGATCCATAATTCTTTGCAAACATTTTACCTTTTTTGTCAATGGCCTTTTCTTAATGCTTCAGTCTGCCGTTTAGTCCATACACAAGACATTTGCCAGTGTAATGTGGAGACAACTAAAGGTAGTTTCTGGCATGCCAGGGACACTGTTCAACATCTTACACTGCCCAGGGCAGTGCCCTACAACAAAGTTAGCTAGATCATAATGGTCAGTAGCACTAAGGTTGAAAACCGCTATTTTTGGCATTGTGTAACAGAGAAAAGAACATTGGTTCTGGATTTTAATTGTGGCCCTCCCACACATGAGCTGAGAGTTCCTGAGCGAGTTATATTACATTTCTTACTTTCATTTCTCTCTCTTATATGGCCATAATAATGCCTACTTTACATGATTGTCAAGAGAATTGTGATAGGAACTGACACACAGTTATGTGCTCAAGAAGTAGTAGTTTGGTACTACGGTTACTTAAATGTTCACTTTATTAATACTATAAAATGTTCACTTTTTTTTTTAGGCAACCCCTAATGGACCTGCATGGTGTTGGTGGCTTCTAGCAGTTCTTCCTGTAGACCCACGATATCAGCTGTCAGTTTTGTCAATGAAGTCTTTGAAAGAACGCTTAACAAAGATACAGCATATACTGACCTATTTTTCTAGAGACCAGTCTAAGTAACTAACTGCTTGGATCAATTTTCCTTTAAACAGTTAACCCTAATCTGGCTGGGTCGACAGTCAGATTGTTCGCTGCCTTTGCACATCTAGTGCTGGTTTGAGAAATGTAATGAAACTGTTGTTTTTGTTTTGTTTTGTTTTCTTCAACCTCCTGAATCATGTGGTTCTTCAAATGAATACCTTCAACTAGGATTTAGACCACTAAGAACTTGCACAGAAAAACACGCACTGAATGTGTGTTAAACCTCTACATTGTGATGAAGTTGCACTATGTACCATATTCTGAAGCGAGAACTCTGTGTGTATGTGTGGGTTGTGTGTGTGTGAGTGAGTGTGTGTGCATGGGTGGTATGTATGCATTTTCTCTGGCTTTAAAATTTTAAAAGGAAAAAAAAAAAAAAAAAGCCATAGAGAGCAGAACTTGCTGAGGGTCATATATTGCCCAAGTTTACAACAGTAGCGATACAAGTTTTTGCAAATTGAATTTGCCTCAGATTTATCTGTCCTAATGCTGATATTTGCACAAGTCTGTAAACTATGGTATTGAGTATCACTATTTGTTGGAAATACTGCTCTTGCTGAACTCTCTCGACCATTGACTATGACACAGTTTCTTATTTATGTAAATACATACATCACGGTGCCTGACAGGCATTGGATGTAGAACCTAGAGCCAGTTTTCAGGAACAATTACACACCTGACATGGTACTGTGCATCGATTCATAAAACACTCAAAACTGTGAAAATATGGTTTACATTTAATTGTACATAAAGGCTAATGGAGAACTCAATTCAGTACTGGTTTGTTTGTACATTTTAGGGGGCTTTCACATTTACTGCCCATCTATGTAATTTATAATTTGACATGATGTGCTTTTTGTTTTTTTAAATTACATAGTATAAGCCCATTGAGGACCTAGGGGAAGAAAAGAAGCTTAATGTAGAGCTAAGCTTTTAAGATTTGTTTTGTTGTGTTTTAAATTCTGGCCTTGGTGCAAATGTTAGTTATGCCTTATATCAAATTTAGATCACCATGCGATGGCATGGTTTATATTCATGCTGCCCTAGAGACTTTTGTAATTATATGTTGCAAACTTGTGACTGTCTCTATCAGCTTTCTTTTATGTAAGTCATTTGTAAAAGTTTCTTACAGATTTTGCTTTTGCTTATTTAATTTTGAATAAAAGCTAAATTCATAGTAACTATTTTAATTTTTTTAATTTTAGGTCAATGTTTAAAAAAAATCATTGCTGAAACCACACTGTATACAGTAAAGCACAGTTGACTTTTGCTCACTGTTTTGTGACAGGAGACATAAACTATGGATTTTCAAAATACTTTTTTTTGGTCACTTTTGACCAAAAGAATGCAGTGTCTGAATGTTGTTTTTATGTGCTATTGAGTCAGTTCCACCCATAGAGACGCTCTGTATGGTTTCCAAGGAGCAGCTGGTGAACTTGAACCACCGACCTTGCAGTTCAAACTGACTTTGCAGTCCAGCATACTAACCTGCAGTGCTACACCAGGACTTGAAGGAGGCTTAGACCCTTATTATTGTTAAGTGCTGTCCAGTCAGTTGGGATTCATCCTAGAGCAGGTGATGAGTTTGAACTGCCAGTGTTGTAGTTAGCAGTCCAGTGCTTATCCTATAGTGCCACAGCAAGACTCCAACTAGCTTACTAAATACTTATTAAGTGCCACTGAGTTGGTCCCAGCCCATAGTATATATAGGGTTTCCAAGGAGCAGCTGGTGAGTTTGAACAGCTGACCTTTTGGTTCAAAGTGACTTTGCAGTCCAGCACATTAACACACAGTGCCACACCAGGACTTCCTAGAACCACCCATAAATCACCAATTTTCAGCCTTTTAAAATCCATGCCCCTTTTGGATAAAGATAAAATTCTTACATACATGTTACCCCCATTTGGGACATCTTCCTTCAACACACACCTGGTCACTTTGTTGTTGTTGTTATATGCTGTGGAGTCGGTTCCGACTCATAGTAACCCTATACAGGGTTTCCGAGGCTGTAAATCTTTACGGGAGCAGAAAGCCTCCTCTTTCTCCTGCGGAACAGCTGGTAGTTTTGAACTGCTGACCTTGCGGCCCGCAGCCCAATTTGTAACCACTACGCTACCAGAGCCTGATCATTTTAGCTCCTATTTTCCCAGCTAAGATTTTTCAAATATAAAAGTCAGTTCTAAAAAAAAAAAAGGTTAAGAAATGACTCCCTACAGTAAGCACTCTCCTCATTCTCCAGGTTATGCCAATTGAGGATCTGCTGTCTCTACTACAGAAAGTGCTGCCTAGGTAGGCCACCATTCAAAAATACTGTGTTAGTAGTTTCTGAAGTGTCAGAATAAACTTTTTTTTTTGTAAGAAAAAACTCTTAAAATGACTATTAAGTGACTTGTAGAGTATATATTGACAGTTCACCTATATAATGCTCAAATTATCATCATACGATAGTAGTTTTCTGATCATGAATCCACATCTCTGAGACAGACACACACAAATGGTCATCACAAAGTTAACATACTTGTGCATACTAATGGACATTACTTGTCATTTCACCCTAAATTTTGTGATAGATTAATTGATACATAGGTCTCTGACCATTTTCAGCCTGAAGATTACAAGAAGAATCTCTGGAGTGTATTTTCCTAATGCATCTTCCATATAGTTTATTTAAAAAAAAAAAAAGTTAAATGACAGATTTTTTTCCCTTTGTCACTTTGTATCTGTTTTGTCATGAATTCTGTATTTCAAACCAAAGTAGCTAGTTGTGACTCTTCTCTCATTACATACCTATCTGCATGTCCAATTTGTTACCTTACTCAAGGTCCAATTCAGAAGCCTTCATTCAGCTGAGAGGACTCTGAAATTCAATAGCACTTGCTGTATGCTTTGCTACAGCATGTAGAGGGAACACTAAATAAAACACATAAACCCTATTTTAAAAAAACAAAAAAAACTCATTTCCATCGAGTCATTCCAATTTATAGCAACACTATGTAGGGTTTTCAAGACTGCAAATTGTTCTGGGAGCAGGAAACCTTCTCTTTCACCCACAGAGTGGCTAGTGGATTTTGACTGTGGATAGCAGCCCATTACTTAACCCGTAGTACCCCCAGGGCGCCTTTACCAACCTGTACAGAGTATTAAGACTAGTGTCTGACAGTTTCATGCGGCCTAAGCTCTAAGTCATATCCTGACCACTGAGCTGAACTAAAATGCCAGTCAAAAAGGGAGATTGGCTAAATATGGCTAGACTGAGTAGATATCTTTGAACTCCCCTTCTAAAATCAAAAAGAGAAAAACCTAGTGCTCATCCACTATCAGTACATGTAAGGAATTTGTGAGCTACACAAATGGGATTAAATATGTAAGGTTAGAATAAAGCACAGCTGTTCATAAATGAGGACCTCAAACCAAATGGAGTGATTCCAGGAGAGCTCCAAACTATGGCAGGCTCAGAAGATACATGGAGATTCCTTGGTGAGAATTATATTTGAAACAGCCATCATTTATTCATCTTCCTAATAGGCTAGGCAGTAACAGCAACTGTATTCAGACCTAACCAATGGATGTGGACATTAGGCCAGAGAAGATGCCGAAAACCTGAAGTAGGTACAGATCCCCATTATGATGGGGCACCCACCTGCACAGATAACAAGCTACTGACCTACCTGCATAGTGTGTTGCCTCATTCCCCACCTCAACACAGACTATCTTTGATGGAGCGTGCAATGGACCAGAAGGGATCCCAAACAATAAAGATTAATGTACAAATCCCAAATATTTGAGGAAAATAAACAGCATAAAAGAAATGACAGGATCTAGACAGGTTTGGTGGAAGGAGATGGGGATAAGATTCTTAAGATTCAATAGTGAGTAATTTTGTTACCATGACTAAATGTGATTGTCACAGCTATAAACATACAGAGGAGAGTAGTAACTCTTACATTCCAGGAACAGAGGACCCTAAAACCATCAAGACAGAAGAGCATGAGCAGAATGTGGGACCCTAACCAGAGAAGCAGCGATACTAGAGATGGAGGTAGAGAAGATGACATGGAGAGAGAGAGAGCAGCTGAGGACTCTAGACTCATGGAAAGAGAAAGGCTGTGTGTTGACAACCAGGAGGCAGGCTTGTAGAAAGTGTCCATCGGTTGTTTAAATGTTTATATTGTTGTTGTTAAGTGCCATCGAGTCGGGTCCGACCCATAGCGACCCTGTACAGGGTTTCCGAGGGTGTAAATCTTTACGGGAGTAGAAAGCCTCATCTTTCTCCCACGGAGCGGCTGGTAGTTTCGAACCGCTGACCTTAAGGTTCGCAGCCCAATTCGTAACCACTACGCTACCAGAGCTCATAGTCTTGAGCATTTTTTGTGTACATAAACAAACAAAAATCCAGGGAATGGAAGTAAATACTATTAAATGATGATGCATTGAGTGGATTGTAAGCATTGCAATGAAACGAAATATGATAGGATGACTGCAAAACGGATATTCTCCCATTTAAACTATCACTCACTCCACAATAAAAGCTTAAAAAAAAGAGAGAAAGACAAGTTTATTCTTAGATTTGAAGATGTTGTTAAAAAAAAAAAAAAATCTGAGAATATATAAAATAGTCCACAGACAATCCCTGGCACCATAGAGGCGTTCAATAAAAGTTTGTTGAATCAGTGCATCATGGAAATAAAGTCAATAAATGAACTGAATAGAAGAAAAAAGTGAAGGCAGATAAACATTGACGTGGATGATTAAGTCAAGGACACTTTCCAAAACACATTGTAGAAATATTGAGAGAATAAAAGTGAGGGAAAAATTGAAACTTGAATACATTCAGAAGCTTAATATCATCCAATAGAAGTTTGATAAGGAGAGTAAAACTAAAAATATAAATACAATAATTTTCCAATTACTCAAGAACAATAAAAATTACATACTACTTAAGAACCAAATCCACCCATTTAAAAGAAAAGAAATACAAGTAAACTTACTAAAGGACAAAATAGTAATTACTAAGTTGTCAACATTAATCTACAATGAGAAGACAACATTTTCTTCATAAACTCATTTTCAAATGGCACCATTAAAAAAAACAAAAAAATTTATAGAGTAAGACATTTGAGACCCAGGTTAATAATAAACTTTTTGCAAATGTTTGATCACCAAAATTAAATCTATCCTTTAAGATTTTGTTGTCACACTTTTGGATATTGAAAAGAACATAGGCTTTATTTCAAAAGACTTAGTTTCAATTTAAGTTGGAATTCTTCATGTTGAGATGAGGAAAGTGAAATCCTAAGTCATTACAGAATTTGCCAAAGAATCACATTGCTAGCGTGGTGAAACTAATTTTGAACCTGGGCAACCTGGCTCCAACTTACTGCCCCATTCAGTTACAAAACATCTAAGCAAGTCAGATGAATGACTTCACTCACTGATACAACAGGTGTTACTTATGACAGGTGCATTTTGTATGTATGGAAGTTAGAGTCTATTCTCAAGTATATTGCCAAGATTTGTGAGCTGATTAAATTGTTTCAACTCTATATTTTTATAAGCAGTATAAATTGATAACAGTATTTCCAGAAAGTAATATGTGTTTCAAGAATCATTAAAATGTTCATGTCTTTGACCCATTCTTATAATGGAGGAATTTCCTTAAGGAAACAACTAAACTAAAATCCACTGAAAACATTTGTTTTCAGTGCTCTTGAGAATAACAAGAGTTTAGCAAAAACCATTGCCTGCTATAGGGACTCCTGGTGTGGCGCTGTAGGATCAGCGCTGGGCTGCAAACCACAAGGTCGGCAGTTCAAACCCACCAGCCTCTCCTCGGAAACCCTATACAGGGTCACCATGAGTTGGAACTGACTTGATGGCACTTAACACCAACAACAACACCATAGGTGACAACTAAAGTAAACTCAAATGAGTATTGTATAACTATTAACAGTAAAAAGGGAACAAATATTTGTAAAAACAATCAAAATTGAAAATACAACTTGTTTTCTATGCCCTATGCATATCATTAAATAATAGAGGATACTATACAAAAATGAAATCAGCAAGATTGATAGGCAATGTATTTTTCCCTACAGTTTTCTATAGGGAAAACCAGCCATCTACTGCTAATCTGTTCAATTTAAAATAACATTACTCTTGTGTTTTAGCATCAGAGAT